GGACACGGTCCTGTGAGGGGAGGGAGAGAGCCAGGGGGAAGACTCGTGTTGCAGGGGGAAGACTCAGGCGTGCCCCTGTGCAAGGACCCTGAGGGGACAGCTGTGGCAGTGGGGTTGTATGGGATCCCCCTGTGTGGGATGCCCCAGTGTGAGGAAAGCCCTGGGAACAGTAAGGGCAGCCCAGTGGGCAGCACCCTGGCAGGACTGTGCTGTTCCTGCCCCGGCCTTGCCCTGAGGGCCTTGCCAGGGGAGCAGATCTAGCGTCGCCTCCCTTTGTGCACTTCCATTCTACAGAAGCTGCTGTCAGGAAGGAGCTCCAGGCACCACTGTGGTAACATGAAACCAACATGGTGAGGAAGCTGGTAGGGTTGGGGGCTCTTCCTGCGTTCATCTCTGCAGAGCAAGGGGTGTGGGCAGGCTATGGTAATGCTGTCTGTCCCAACGGTTACCAGGAGCTGTGCTGATGGAAGGTGGCAGCTTGCCGTCCCTGGAGGTGGATGTGCCCGCTCACTTAGTGGTCTGCATACCTGGACCTTAACCAGCATGTTCTGCTGGGTTTTCAGATAGAATGTGGATTGAGAGAGCTGGTACTGATTTCCTGTTCATATCTCAAGTATTCTGAATTTGAACTGGTATTGGGCTCTGCAACCCTCCATCTTAAAGCTCTGAATCAGCAAGGCCCCTGTTTTTCTTTCCAGCAGTGTGCTGTAGTGTGTGCTGCCTTTCTCATCTCAGCCTGTCTCGTGGTGTTTCTGTTTCATCTGCTTTTCTTCCCTTCAGATTCACCTGGCTTAACTTGGTATTCAGAGCTTCCAAAGCTGAATCCTGTATTCTGATGTTTGCTTACGAAGCGCTGAGTGGTTCCAGAATGGTTTGGACCTGGGTCTTTGTGTATTCTTAATGTAATATTTCTATAGCCAGTAGACTGATTTGTTAGTTGGTAGTTTGTCTCACAAAACAGTATACTAAAATATCTTATGCAAAGTCTTTTTATATTGAACTGTCGTGTGCAGCTGATATATTGATCTATGTACATATGGTCAAATTTCTGATGTAGATGCATACTGTGTTCTAGTAATATGTCACTGGACTAAGACTTTGATTTTTTTTTTTCCTTTTTTCAGAAATTCTGATAGGACCTTGCAAGTCTTTCAGAATTAAATATATCAGTTATTAGTTTTTGCCATCATAACTGTAAATAGGCCTGTCAGGGATATCTTGATCATCTGTAACAGTTTCTTGTCATTGAGATTGCAGAATATTTTTCTGTGACCGGGTTAGTTTAGCCCTGCCCCAAGGTAAGTGCTTTGTTTTGAAGCTGGGGGAAAAGTGATGTATTTTGAGAAGACTGAGTATGAACTCTGTATGTAGCAAGATGACTTTGGGTTGATGTTTCAGCTGCATAAAATCCTTGTTTTCAGTCTCTCGAATTGTCCTAAATTTTTCTCTGATGGCATCAGTGTGTTTCATACTTTTTTCAGCGCAGCTATTTCCAGGCGTCTAGATGAACAACCTGTGCCATCCTGGTTAGAACTTGTTTAGGGTAGTTTGAAGTTTCCTTTTCATGGCATTGTCTTTGTTTCCTGTCTAATAAGGACTTTTGAGAGAGCGGGGGAATTGACTTTCATCTCCTTGAGAAGGAAGATGCTGTGTGAAGTCACTACTATAGAAATCTTTTTAAGACCACAGGGGTGAAAAGGGTAGGATATGCTGGTAGATCATCTTCTGAAGAGTGTGTATGTCTTTTCTAGGATAGTTTCTACTTTTGTTGCCCATTACGTTCCTTGTGGCAGTCTTGCATGTTCCTTATGCAGGAAAGGAGCAAGTAAGCAGTATTTGGTTTTGAAATGAGAAAGGGAACAGAATCTAGGATCTGCTTCCAGTCTCCAGGAGTTTTGGTTTAGCCACCTTCCGAGTTCAGCTCTCTTACGCTTTAAGCTTGTGTAAGTGTAGGCTGCAACCAGCAGGAGACTCTTGCCCTTTCCCTGGAGCCAGCTGGGGTGCCTGTTACAGGTGGGAGTCTGAATCCCTTTACCTATGGGTCTGACCCAGGAACTGATCAAACCGAAGGCAAACTAATGTGGTGTTTTTGTTTCTGCCAGCTGTG